AGGGCCTTGCCCTCGATGCCTCGGCCCTTGGCCGACCATATCACGCATGACATGCAGCGACTGCTTTGATACTCGAGCAGCACTCAGTGGGTTACGTGCCACTCCACGATCACCCCGCAAGCCACGCTCGGGACTCCTGTCCAATACATTGTTGATGTCTACCAACTCGGACATTCCAATGTCAAGCATGCGGACCGTCTCGGTCCAGTGCCCTCGCCAATACTCCTCCGGGAGACGTGCGCGTAGCGCCCAAGGTTTTTGGCCTCCAATCAATTCATGGATCATGGTGTTCCATCCATGCCATTCCTAGGATGAGGTCATACCATGCCCCAGTAGGTCGCTCTGCGCCTACTTGATGGTGTCGTTTTCCCGCGACGAGCCGGACTGGTAGGCATTGGGGCGATGGTTGACGAGCCTTGACGTGCCTTTCGCATGGAGCAACTGTTCCGAAGTTGACTTGTGTCTCCACGGCAAAAACATCGTTACATATTTGTGTGCTGCTCGGCAGCTCAGAGCTCTGCTCCCTCGTCCTCAGCATAACTGAGATTAATGGGCACAGATTCGTTCAACGAGCTGTTGGAGTGTGCATTCTAACCAAGTCGTGGCGACTTGAAATTAAATTTTGCATCCAATGCCACATTCACCGCTTCTTCAAATGAAGACGGATGCACACGTAGGACTTCCATTCTTGCCACGCCAGTGCGGAGGCTTCTCAGAAAGACGGTCTACCCAGCCACGTATCGTATTCTTATTTGGGTGCAGTCACACCATGCCCATCTCGTGTGACACACACATCTGTTACCAGGGTACGTGTGACCCCGTAACAGTCACTGTGACCGCGTCGGGGAGAGGATCGGCTGCCAGTAAAGTACGCAACTCTTGGATAAAGTCAACCAATTTCTTCTTGCCCTGTCAGGCGGCAAGGAAACCCGATCGCACGCGCTATGCCTGGTTAGGCGTCGAGAACGCTAGTAAAAGTTGGCCGTCCAGGAGGGAATTGCCGTTTCAACCGAAGTGCCGCACGTCAGTGCCCATTCTCGTGCCTGAACCGGACCTTAGAAATAGATTGCGCTACGGACTGTTGCTCGTTCTGGATCATGGCGGATGTCATAGCCATCTCGGCCTCTCATATCTAGAGCATGAAATTCTCTCTATCCTTACCGTCGAAGGGCTTAACGCCAACCATGAGCGGCCTGGGTCGGGAGGAGGCAGCCTTCGTCGGCGCGGTGGCGTCATGGACGCAGTCGATGCCGACAGCTTCTGCTGTAGGGGCTCTAGCAGAGTATTTTCATAGCTCGAAAATGCTTCTTGGCGCGCGCTTATCGCTTCAGGTCTATGCGAACCAAGATATTGCGCGTTTTGGAGGCAAGCAGAGATATAAGCCTTTTAAGCCCGTCCTGTATGCCCAAAGGCAAATAAAAAAGCTGCTCCATCATCATGGAGGATCGGTCATGACGACTCAGATGTATATCGACTACAAGTGCTACCAAGTGCAGCGTAGCTGCCGTAGCGCTTTGCTTAGAGGAAGCCAATCTAATGTCATCGACCTCACGTATATACTATATCTAGAATGAGTGTAGCGGATTACAATCCGCTCACTCCAAGAGTATCCAATACCTTAACCCACTCTATCGATCAGAATTCAAACTGTATTTCTTTTGATATATTTGCGGCAGAGGCGCCAGCAAGCAATTTGCTGTGGCAAGTGAGGCGATTGAAATGCATAATGTACGTTTGCTAGATCCGTGTAGACAGTAATCGGAGTTGAACCCAAGAGTTTAACACGAAACGTTACCCGAGCATATTTGATTGACAAATGCTCCTTGTAGTGGACAGGGTAGTTCCTTTCTGCTGGCTTCAGCTGTCGCGATTAAATGACACGACACGTGTCCTTCTGAGTCGTTTTGCAATAAAGCATAACCGATTGGAAACTCAGAAGCGTCACAAAACCACGCTAAACGGCTTCGTCTCATCTATTAAGGCAAATAATTGTGCTTCCATCAAGTTTTCTTTGTTTGAGTGACAAGTAGATTACCCTTTTCATGGTACGTCTTTCTTCAGTAAATTTGATAGCGGGTGTACCTCTCCCGCGTACATAAGACAAACCAATACATTTACTCGAATCCTTTTGCTTTCGTGGCGTTGGCCATCCCACGTTTATTTTGACCTTTTCAAAGTTCGCACGAACACCGTGTTCACCAACATAACAACCGGATACCGGTACGTCTTTAGCACAGAAAATACACTTAGCAAGATTCGCCTGCAATAAATGTTCACGCATGTATTATAGCACCGCACGCTGGTGCTACAGTGCATTTTGCCGGCCGATCTGCCATCTTCGTCCTTCGAGTAAACGAAACAAATATTGTCAAAGTATGTTGGTGCAAAGCGTCGCAGTGGTGAGACCAATCGATTGATCGTTGCTGGGGCATTGCATAGTCCCTGTGGTATCACAAGTCACTCCAATAGCAT